GCTTTCTAAAGGTTTAAAAATATAACTTTTGGTGGTTTGTTTATCATTTATAGAAATGAGGTATTACAAACCTTTTATCATTTATGTAAACCGGGTCTTTCAATTTGGTATCAGAGCGGTGGTTTAAGTGAACTGGATACCAATGACGATATCTGGACTTAAACCTTGTGTCGGTATCATGTAGTAAGTATGTTTTGATTAAACGGGATACGAACTTAGGAGAAACCCTGGTAGGAATTGGGAATTTGTTATAGGATTCTATTTAATGTTATGTATACATCGTAACTTTCAGAAAGATGGCCGACGGTGATGAAGCTAGTCACACCCCATCTAACGACAATGTAAGAGAAAACGCTCCACACCTGGAGATTTATGATGATGAGGCACCGATGTCTCCTTGAAGGGAACATTTGATGCAACGTATGACTTTATTAATTCAGCAAACGTTAGCCCAACAACGACATGACGATAGAATGTCTAAAGATGATAAAAGTAAAGGTAAGGAGAAAGAAAGGGCTGACACCTCAAAACCCAAAACCGACCGAGTCTCTTTTAAAACCTTTCGTGGTAGCGGTGCTACTGAGTTCTCTGGGAAGGTTGATCCGTTGGAGGTACTTGAATTGATATTGAATACTGAGAAGGTCTTTCGTATCACCCGAGTGCTATGTGATGATAAAGTGAATTATGCCACGACCATGTTCCAAAGTAGGGCCTTGATATGGTGGAATACTACTTTTGCAGCTTTAAGTGAAACTGAAAAAGAAGGTATGCCTTGGGAGTCTTTCAAAACTCGTTTTAACAAGCAGTATTGTCCAATTGATCTACAAAAACGATTGGAGAAGGAGTTTCTTGATCTTAATCAAGGAAAGATGTCAGTGGTGGACTACGAGACCGAGTTCAATCATAAAGCATAGTTTGGCACACGTTTCTTGACTACAGAACAGGAACATGTAGACCACTTTATAGACGGATTGCGATCAGTGATTCGAGATGTCGTCGCCAATCGTGATATTATATCTCGTTTGCTTTCTAAATGTTTAAAAATATAACTTTTGGTGGTTTGTTTATCATTTATAGAAATGAGGTATTACAAACCTTTTATCATTTATGTAAACCGGGTCTTTCAATTAAACGATCGAAATCATCGTATGTATCACCAAATTCTTCATCAACATTGAAAGATAACGACTGTAGACTTGGGAAAGACTGTTGACCTTCTATTTCGGAAAATATATCTTCAATGTTGTCAATCACTACTCCCACTTCAATATTCTGTAAAGCCACTAGATGAGCAGTATTGTCAGCACCATCATCATTATCATCATCAATATTAAGATCACCCTGAGTTGACTCATTATCATATGTAGTATCTTCCGAGCTTGAAGAAGCTGTGGAAGTACTATCAGTTAAAGTACTGTGCTGATCAGAGGCTCCCCGCTCCAGATTACTCCTCTGATTTACATTTTCCTTCTGCTCACAACCCTGTTCAGGTAACCCGTGTTCCTGAACGCTCTCAGCTATAACTAGACCTTCTCCCTCAGCTAAGGCACGGGTTGATCCTGGGGTAAGTTCAACCAGTTCTGGTTGAGCTATAGGATCTATCAGTCTCCTATAATCTATAACGCATTGAGCCCTCTAATCAGCGAAGGCAAACAACTCTGGTGGAATTTTCATTATTGAATCCAAGTCTTCAACTTCCGTGTGTTGAAGAATACGTGTCATGACGAACGATGACCCCACTGTCTGCCATGGCCGGGATGTCATCATTGGCGTTCATCATGGCTTTAATGATCAGTTGTAAAAATCTCTGAAACGACACAAACTTCCTCGCTTTTGATGGTTGGCGTTGACCAGCTCGACTAGTTCATTCCAAATTATCAGTGCATAATCATATATGCGCATGTATACAATCCCGTGGAAGAACTTGAGAAATGAACTGCTGCATGTATCAATTTTGGCAGTCTTGGATGTCAGGCATCGGTTGAGGATCGAAAAGAGTAGATGCCATATTGACAGAAGAAATCGTCTTTTGAACTGAGATGAATTAGTTAACTCTTGCGAGTATCCTAATCTCTTGATATCTCTGCAAAGCTCGTCATCAGTGACTAAAAAAATTTAAAACTAAAAAGAAAAAAAAAAAACTTAACTAAAAAAAATCAAACTAAAAACTAAACTTAACTAAAAAAAATCTAAACTAAAAAAATACCTAAAAAATAATATCTAAAAAAATTAACTAAAACATAATATTAAAAAAATTAACCTAAAAAATTTACTGTAAAAAAATTCTAAAAAAAAAATTAAAATTACTAACTTAAAAAAATTAAACTAACTAAAAAAAAGGAAAAAAATTCACCCGGATTACAAATCCGGTCAAAAAGAAAGAAAAAAAAATACTAACACACCTAAACCGGACAAACACATCGGTTGAGGTTGATCGGATTAAAATCCGGTCACCTTCTGTTAGGATTGAAAATCAGTATAAAATTATATTCGTATTGAAAGTTAATTATGTCTATAATTGTATAAAAGTCATCGTGTTTGACTTTTCATATGATAGTTTGACTTTGACTTTGTCTAGTTATTTGACCCTATATAAAGGATGAGTTGCTTGAATTTTAGAGTATGAGCTTTATTGTAAAATCAGTTTTTACGTAATAAAGGTTTGACCATATTTGGATTGTTGACTTTCTCTCTCAACTATCATAATGTTCTTAGAAGAATAATTCAAATCTGCCATTGTTGAAGAGCTCTCAAGAAGATTGATTAAAGTCGGACTATCACCTTCTCTAGTGAGAAATCCGATCAAAAGTCAAAACTTAAACCGACTAAAAAACAAACTAAATCTAAATCTAAAACGAACAAAATCAAAAGACCTAACCTCAAACGATGAACAAAACAAAAAACTAAACTCGATTAAGGTCTGAACGGTTTACTAAGAATCAATTTTTTATTCATTTACAGATTCAACATAAAGTCCAAATATGATTATTGTTCATTTAATGATTCGATTACTTATTAAGTCCATGAACACAGTCCAAAAGTACGATCGATTCCAAATGAAAACAAGTATAAACCTTAGATTTAAGATGAAGTGAAGAAATCGATTGGAGTCTGTGAAGAACACGAGCGATTTAACAAACGGAGACGACAATGAATAGTGTTGAGTGATGAAAGTGAAAGTAAAAAGTGAAAGGTAAAAATCAAGCGAGTATTTATAGAAAAGACAAAAACCCTTCAACTTCTAATCCGCTCAAAGGTTGTCCGGATTAAGATAAATCAGACAAAAGGTTGTCCAATTTAGAATACGCTCACACAACCAAGTCATAAGTCGGACAATAAACCGCAAAAGACACAAGCGATTTAGACAAACATTGCTCAAGGAACAATCGATTTAAAAGGAAATCGCTCAAAGGATAAGCGATTTAGACATGAATCACTCAAAGGACGGCGATTTACACTTAGTCGCACATAAGAACAACAAGCGATTTACTAAACCGGACACTAAGATCAAGCGATTTACTAAATTGCACAACTCCTTAGTGTCACACCCCGCTAAAGCGGAAACACGAGATGTAACAGGCAAGCGAGCCATAGCAACAATTTATAAATAACAACATACCAAGTTGTTCAAAAACAAAACAAGTTCATCAACATAACTAAATCAGAATTTAGACAACGTTCCCAAAATACAACAAATTCTGACTTAATCGATCCTGACTCGAGTATGCTCCCAAAAATCCAAAAAACTTTACTTAGATCCTGAAAAGCATGGAAATAAAACAGGGTCAACTACAAAGAGTTGGTGAGTTCACGGGTTTTCATATGCATAAAACGTTTCAATGCATAAACCAAATAATAGCAAACTTATGCGAATTCTTTGCACTTAATAAATGTAAATCTCTCACGATGTAAAACTTGAGACGCTACTAGGCCTTACCTAACCAACTTGCCCCATTAATTTTCGAACAACCAGAAGTAGCCCGTTCACTACTTATGTCCCACAGTAGGATAGAGTACTAATTCAGCGGTGGTCCAAATTCCACATGATTAGACTAGAAAACGTAGGTAATTGTGCACCCCTTTCTAGGTGGAATTGTCAACACAATAGCGGCTATCCACAATACCACGACCCGGGGATGTACCTGAGTCAACAAGTAGTGTTTACGGACGGGAACTTTTATTTGTAAACATATACTCCCAAGCACATCAATTTAGCATTTATTCTAAGTGCAATAACAGTTATCAAAACGAAACATAATAAACCCGACTAAGCAGTTCCTTAGTCCAGAGGTTTCAACAGAGCTTGACTAAGCAGTTCCTTAGTCCAAAAAGTTTTGAGCAAAGCATCGACTAAACAGTTCTTTAGTCTCAAAATTTCATATAACATAAACATTCAAAGTTTGTTCAATCTCATGCTTTTCCCCCATAAAATATACAAAAGCAGTAAAAGTGGGGCCGTAAGAACTCACAAGTTTGATGAATATACGAAGGTTTCCTTTAGAAGCTTTCTAGGCTCGCTCGAACTTCCTGACAAACCAAACCAGCGCTACATTACTTAACGGTTTCCTTGCCTAAGGTAGAGCAAAGTTGTTTTCAACGTAAAGCCATCAAGTATTTTTATAAAATAAAGACAATATTTTTTTTTATTAAAAAAAACTTTCCAAAATCCTATTAATGACATCATTTTAAGTCATCCCAAAACAATGATGACAGCCGCCAATTACCAAAATCAAGATATTTTGAGTAGGTTTAAAACTCTTTCCAAGAACTCTACAACCTTGAGCCACAGGCCTCCAACACCGATTGCATGCACCAAGAATTGTAGCAATGATGGGGAAGGGTTTCAAGCTCAACATTTTCAAGAATTTAAATTTTAACACAAAATCATCCATCTTCGACAACTCCAGAAAACAAATAAATTCTGATTCCAATGAGTTTTCAAGATAATAAATTCGATTAAAGTTGCATGCAAGACCTGTCATCCGAAAATATGATCAGTCCTCACATGCAATGATTGATTCTTTCTTTCATAGAGATTAAAGAACTTGGGTCATAGATCATCATCCCAATGAAGACACATGCAGGTCTTTGATGAATAATCTCTCCTCTTTAAATCCCATAAATTACTTAAAGAATCGAGAAGGGAGAARGATGAAAACTTTCGGACTTCAATGAAAATAGGACAGCTCTAAAACATACCTTTTCTTGACAGAAAAACTCGTACAAGCTCTTAAGGACAGCAAAACRTTAAGTTTYGCAAGATGATTGGAACCGGCTGGAAGGTGATGGCGTTAGAGAGAAAACAGAAGGCTGGAAATTTGGAGAATGAAGATTTTCCAAAAGAAGAAGGGTATTTATATGGGGCTTTTTGAGAAGAAATGGGCTGGCTCCTAAGGCCCAAGCCCAAGATATTAATTTTTTCTAAATGCTAGAACTCCACTATTTTAAACAAACAAAACAATTTGGCAAAAGATTTTAAAGAAAAACTCCACTCTTTAATTTAATTGGCAACTAAATATATAAAAAGAATGGAACTTTGGAATTTTTTTAAAGAGGACGGAACTTAAAAATATCAACTTTATTTTACGTGGAATACTTCAAGACTATTTGGCATTGCATAAACTAACTTTGTTAGCTACCCGCCGAGACGTGATCTAACGAACTAATGTTGGGAATTAAGCAAGATGATCTCTAATCATCGAAGCTAAATCCTAGAAAGACTGAGTTTTCAAATAAAGATCCTGAAATAAGGTACTAACCTGAAATCCCAAAATGCAGGATTGTCACACTTAGAATCATATCTAATCTTATCCGGATAAGAGTTTATCGAATAGCCTTTTGTCCGGATTAGCCTAAATTGGACACTGTTTTGTCCGGATATAAAATAAATCGGACAAAATGTTTTCCAGATTGGTCCAAATCGTTCAAACACTTATTATTTTAAACACTAAATCTTTCAAAAATTAGATATATGTATGATAAACTGTAAGAAAAAATTTAAACTCTTAGTACATATAGATATTTTTACTCCCCCTCAAAATATGAATAAGTTAAAATATAGAGAAAATTCCACACTCCCCCTCAAATATAGATTTCAACGATCAAAGAATTTAAAATCATATAAAAAATGAAATACCGATTTGTATTAAAAAATATAGATATTTTGAAAAAAGGAATTTCAATTAAACATAGTTCAATAAATTGAACTGTTTTTAAGAAAAAAATCTAATTTTCAAATTTAGCATGCCTAACTTAGATACGAGAAAGCTGAAGTGTTTTTCATCTAAAGTTTTCGTAAATAAGTCGGTTAATTGAAATTATGTATTTAGAAAATACAATTCGATAGTTCCTTTTTCTACATGATCTTTAATAAAGTGATACCGGATAT